GATCCAAAAAAAAAACGCGAAATAAAACAGCAATAATAAAAAGAAAAGGTGGCGGGGGGGGGGGGGGGGGTAGTGGAATAGTTTCGAACAAATGAGCGGAGGCGCCCGTGTGTGGGCAGCGTCCGTAACGCGGGAAATGAGCTCTCTTGTGTCACGAGTACCCAACTGGAACCCCAGCGAGCACGTCCTGGTGTTGGGTTATGTCCGACCAAGCTGTTTGCTCCGAGTCTTTAATTTGCTTACCTTGTCACCTCGTAGACAGATTTGTGACGGCAGTGATGGTTTGCTGAGCCAAGGTAAGGTAGAGGGAAGGGAGGGAGGGGTAAGCAGAGTGATGGAGAGAGGGAGGGAGGGAGGGATAAGCAGAGTGATGGAGAGAGAGAGAGGGAGGGAGGGATAGCAGACGAATGGAAGCAGAGTGCACTGAAGAATACAGGAAGGAAAACAAGGATTAAACGCGCTTGAGAACGGGGAATGGAGAGGAGAGAAGTAGAGAGACACTGGTGAGAGAAGTAGAGAGATACTGGTGAGAGAAGTAGAGAGACACTGGTGAGAGAAGTAGAGAGACACTGGTGAGAGAAGTAGAGAGACAATGGAGAGAGAAGTAGAGAGACAATGGAGAGAGAAGTAGAGAGACACTGGTGAGAGAAGTAGAGAGACACTGGTGAGAGAAGTAGACACACACTAGTGAAAAGTAGATACACTGGTGAGAGAAGTAGACACACTAGTAAGAGAAGTAGACACACGCTAGTGAGAGGAGTAGACACACACTAGTGAGAGAAGTAGACACACACTAGTGAGAGAAGTAGACACGCACTAGTGAGAGAAGTAGACACACACTAGTGAGAGAAGTAGACACACACACTAGTGAGAGAAGTAGACAAACTTGTGAGAGAAGTAGACACACACTAGTGAGAGAAGTAGACACACACTAGTGAGAGAAGTAGACACACACTAGTGAGAGAAGTAGACACACACTAGTGAGAGAAGTAGACACACACTAGTGAGAGAAGTAGACACACTAGTGAGAGAAGCAGACACACACTAGTGAGAGAAGCAGACACACACTAGTGAGAGAAGCAGACACACACTAGTGAGAGAAGTAGACACACTGGTGAGAGACTAAAATAATGTTGCTACTACTACTAAAAATAGTAAACAGAGCAGTAGTCTGGGTAGTAAATAGCAAGACCAACATTAACACTATTTCACCACTTGTTTACACCCAGAGTCAAGCAGTTGTTTACTTCTCCCTGTTAATTACCACCACATTTGAAGCCTTAACTATTATATATGTACATAAATTTGAACAATATAATACAAGTTTAGCTGCTGTATGATACAGTAGCTAAACTTCCATGTATTTTTTGTTATTCAATCTTGTTCTATTTTGTTCTTCATAACAATCCCTAATTAACACTCTTAACATATTTGTTTCTAATCTGTGTTCTTCATCAACGTCTTCCATGTAAATGGAAGAACAAATCAAAATCAAAATCAAATGTTTAATTAGGTTAAAATACATACATAGAACATGATTTAGAAACATAATGTAGGATTTAGAGATAGATCTAATACACATACAATACCTAAAGCCATTGATACTCACAGCGATTCGGGCAACAATTCTATCATCCTTCCTCCTTGCCCCTGAGAAAGCCTACAATCCTCCAATCCTCCAATCCTTCCCTCGCCAGCAAAGGACCAATAGGGGGACGCGACTCCGGCTGAAATGTGTGAGGCATATTTTTTCCTCATTAGTTCAATTACGGTGCACATTTAGGGGGTCTTATCGTGTGGTTACCGAGCGTTCCAGTGCATAAGTTGGTGCGGGAATGATGTAGTTGGGTGTGGCGATAAATATTACCTATTTGCTCTGTATCACTCACCTCTGAGGGAGAAGAGGAGTGGGAGGGGTTTATGTGGGAAGGGGGGAGGGGTGGGAAGGGGTTATGTGGGAAGGGGGGAGGGGTGGGAGGGGTTTATGTGGGAAGGGGGGAGGGGTGGGAAGGGGGAGGGGTGGGAAGGGGTTATGTGGGAAGGGGGGAGGGGTGGGAAGGGGTTATGTGGGAAGGGGTAGGGGAGGGAGGGGTTATGTGGGAAGGGGGAGGAGTGGGAGGGGTTTATGTGGGAAGGGGGAGGGGTGGGAGGGGTTATGTGGGAAGGGGGGGGAGGGACATGTGAAGGGTTGGAGTTGGAGGGAAAGGGGTAAGGGGGGATATATATAGGAAGGGATTAGGAGGGGGGGGATGGATGGGGAGGAGTATGTAGTGGCTAGTAAGGGGGGGAAATGGGAGGGAATGTGAAGAGAGAGATGAAGGGAAAGGAATTCTGGCATTCATTGTGGAAGGTGAAGGGAAAGTGTAAATACTTTGATAGAGGTGTGTGAAATAGCAAAGCAAAATAGTATGGAACGGAGGAATATGGTACAAAAGGAGGCTCTCTCTCTCTTCCAAGCGTTATGGAACAGAGAGAGAGAGAGAGAGAGAGAGAGAGAGACGAGAGAGAGAGAGAGATCGGAGAGAGAGAGAGAGGAGATGAGAGAGAGAGAGAGGGAGAGAGAGAGAGAGAGAGAGAGAAGAGAGAGAGAGAGAGAGAGAGAGAAGAGAGAGAGAGAGAGAGAGAGAGAGAGAGAGAGAGAGAGAGAGAGAGAGAGAGAGAGAGAGAGAGAGAGAGAAATTACGAACTCTCACCCAAGTTTATCTTGGAAAGCCCTTTAGTGACGTCGGGCAATAATGAAGACGCAAGAGTCAATAATAGGTAGATTTAGATATGGGTAGATAATAGGTAGATTTAGATTTAGATTAGGGTAACTCAAGAGAAACGTGTCGACACGACGTCTGGTCGCAGGACCCTTTGGTGGTCATAATCACTTTGTTGATGCCCTTTTAGTCAAGTTGTAAGGCCATTTAGGGCGGTCGCTTCCCTGTGTGTAGAGTGATTCACCTGACAGAGCTTTTATAGTTTTAAGATTTCTCTCTCTCTCTTTCTCTCTGTCTCTGTCTCTGTCTCTCTCTCTCTTTCTCTCTGTCTCTGTCTCTCTCTCTCTCTCTCTCTCTCTCTGTCTCTCTCTCTCTCTCTCTGTCTCTCTCTCTCTCTCTCTTTTTTGATCATCCCATGTTATAATAGCCTTTACTTCACTGGGAAGGGGTCAGGATAAGGATTTGGGATGTAACGGGGATGGGGGGGGGGAGAAGAAATGGTGCCCAACCACTTGGACGGTCGGGAGATTGAACGCCGACCTGCAGGAAGCGAGATCGTCGCTCTACCATCCACCCCCATGTGGTTGGACTGAAAAACACAGGATTTACCTAGTGCTTGTGTTACTCTGCGCATGATTCTTGACGGTCATAACCCAATTTCACTTCCAGGATATCCACTCGATCTATCGTTGAACTCTAATTCCCTGTTGCTGAGTCACTCTGGATAGTAGCAGTGCTTATGTAGCAATTAAGCAGTGATTGCTGAGCCCCACAGCAGTGTCTTCTCACCTGTGTGAATTATTATAATATATGTAGTCTGCCTTGACGCCACTCGGTCTCTTTGAGTTACTCTCGGTCTTAAGCAGCTTGTAGAGGACTGTCAGAGAACAATTTCAGTTATAGTGAATAGTCTCAATACTGAGCCTATTACCATGTTATATTTGGGATGGTCTGATAGCAGAAGATAGCCCTCGTCGTAGCTATGATATCGTGAGATGCGACGCTATACTTTTAGCATCACGTTGAGCTTGCAGGACCAATGGGAGGTGACCTCAGAAGTCACACATCACTGTATCCTTGTTGAGTCTCGGTGTCTGTCATAACTTACTCCTCAGACGTCGCTAGGAAACTATGCTGTACCTCAGGACTCTCCACTTCGACTTCTTCGAACTTCGACCTCATGAGACTTCGACTCGACTTCGAAGTCGAAGTCGTATTAGAGCGATGGCGCTCTATACATACGCAAGAAGAGCACCTGAGGACCTTTCCTTCAAACAGCTTTGATCCAGCAGCTCAACAACCAGCCAAGAAGTCAGGAATGGCTGACCTTGGACAGTCATCTGCAGCGTATACAAGTACTGAGAGACAGGCGCCGTAGGGCAAGCCGTCTTCTGGTCGACCCCGAGGATATTTGACCGAGAAGTCACCAGAGAGCAGGATATCAACTGTATACTGTCTCTCCAGATGTTTGAGGATTGGTTATCGAACAAAACAGCGCAGATGTGGGCTTCAGGAATGAGTTGCAGTATGATAAATAATCATTGCATCTTTATTTATTTATAGGGGGTACCGCCCCAAGCGCAATTGTAGGGACCCCATAGCCACGAAGAAGAAAATAAAGAGTACTCAGAGAAGACCTTGTGGGTTCTCAATGTATATTTATATGTAATGTGTAAGTGCTCACAGAGGACCTGCAGTTGCTCCGTGCACTTGCAATAGCCCTCATTGAGCTACTTATAGAGCTTCTTATAGAGCTAACAAGATATTGACACGCAAGTAGCTGAGAACCAACACCCCTCCCCCCCCCAATCCATGTCCCAAGGAGGAGATCCTCTCAATCGACTTGAGAATGGTCCAGGACGGTCCGAAACGTCGTCGTCCCTTCACATTCTAGTGTGTGGTCTGGTCATCAGATCCTCTCAAGTTAATGGATAGGGAACGGCTGCATAATTAGTGCTATTATCTACTCTCTAGCCATGGTCAGGTTAATGTTACTTTAGGTTAAGTTGATTTTAATGTTTGGTTAGGTTAAGTTTCATTACGTTTAGTTACATTAATTCAGTGTATTATTGACGATATTGTAAAATATGGTTTTTGACAACTATTTCAGTGTGCCCGAAAATTCCGTTTACAGAAAATATATTTTTTAAATAAAAAGTTTCCAGAGTACACTTTTTATATTTTAAACCAGCGATTTATAATACAATAACGCTACAACTTGAGTATAATTTATGTTTGCGACAAAGGTTCATTTGCCACTTTACATGTAGACTATTATTGGAACCGCGTGATATGCTTTCAGACCATCACAAATATGTAAATAACTTTCCAGGTGGTTTGAGGGGGGGCGGGGCGTGGTTTCTCATTTCCATAAGAAACATGGAAATGTTTCTCATTTCCATGTTTCTCATTTCCATGTTTCTCATGGAAATGTTTCTCATTTCCATGTTTCTCATGGAAATGTTTCTCATTTCCATGTTTCTCATGGAAATGTTTCTCATTTCCATGTTTCTCATGGAAATGTTTCTCATTTCCATGTTTCTCATGGAAATGTTTCTCATTTCCATGTTTCTCATTTCCATGTTTCTCATTTCCATGTTTCTCATTTCCATGTTTCTCATTTCCATGTTTCTCATTTCCATGTTTCTCATTTCCATGTTTCTCATTTCCATGTTTCTCATTTCCATGTTTCTCATGGAAATGAGGAATGACATGAGGACGGGCTCACAGCAAGACCCCACAAACCCTTGAGATGCCCCTTGAGATGAGAGGGAGCCGGTCGGCCGAGCGGACAGCACGCGGGACTTGTGATCCTGTGGTCCTGGGTTCGATCCCAGGCGGCGGCGAGAAACAATGAGCAGAGTTTCTTTCACCCTATGCCCCTGTTACCTAGCAGTAAAATAGGTACCTGGGTGTTAGTCAGCTGTCACGGGCTGCTTCCTGGGGGTGGAGGCCTGATCGAGGACCGGGCCGCGGGGACACTAAAAAAAGGCCCGAAATCATCTCCAGATAACCTCCTGATCTCCAGAAGCCCCAGCCCGTCCTCCAAAGATTCCTCAACATCGAGAAACTATCGCACTAAAGTGCCTCCTTATCCTAACCTACCAGAGGACCTAAAACAGAAAACGGGACAGTATGTCAATTTCGCCAGCCGCTTCCATTTTCTAGTACGACGATTTTCTGGCCTTGGGTAGAGTATACGTCAAAATGCGACGTGCTATGAGGAGGACGGGTTGGTTGACCAGAGAACAGCTGCAGGACACCGCCTGACTTCATTTCTACTTCATCTACCTTAACCGACTTCATTTCTACTTCATCTACCTTAACCGACTTCATTTCTACTTCATCTACCTTAACTGACCTCATTTCTACTTTATAAATTTCTCCCCAATCTACTACGTGCGCGCTGGCTTCCTGTAAGCGAGGGAGCTGGGACGAATTTAAGATATGCAATCTTGAATAATAATTAATAACATGGATGAGTGGAACTGATGCAACAGTGATGTTAGAGACTGAGCTGTCGGACGACCTGCCGCTTATCGTCACCCTGAACGTGTGTGTTTGTCAGCAAATTAAATGTTTTTGTTTAATTGTATGAACATCGAAAGCGAGCTAAAATGTATCAGTGAGGAATTTTCGTTTACAAGTTGGTGTCAATTTTATGAGGCTTTGGTGTATATAAGAGAATTCCTATTGAAAAATAATGTGGTTATGAGGGGAAAGCTTATAGTGCTTTCCCCCCCCCCTCATGTGTATGTAAATACATATTTCGTATATGTAGCACATGGAAGGGATACATATTCTCTATATGTAGCACTTGGAAGGGATACATATTCTCTATATGTAACTCTTGTAAGGGATATCAGGGTAGGAGAAGAGCTGGGATTGGGATTTGAGGAAGGGGGGGGGGGGGAAGGCGGAATATGAGGATAAGGGAGGAGGTGGATTATGAGGACTGAACCGTTGGGCCGTCGGGGATCGAACGCCGACCTGCATGAAGCCTGGTCATCCCTCTATCAACCACACAAAAATGATCGGACCGTCCGTGTTGAAAGCCTTGACTTATGGCCATTACTGGCGGGGGTGACACTTTTAATTTGAATAAAAGTAATTTTGTTTGAATGAAAATTATTATTTTATTTTCTAGTTAGTCCTAAAAATATGTAAACAAGAAATTGAGTGAATTTGCCTAGAGGTCGTTAATAGTTCAAAACATCTTCATTGGCCAAAATGTATTGAATTTTGTCCAATTGAGGTAATTCAATTGTTGCTTACAGAATATTACAACAAGGAGGCTGCTCATATTCACTGCTACAGATGACAAGTGAAGATACTGCTCATATTCACTGCCATGAAGATGCTGCTCATATTCACTGCCTCAGATGACAGTGAAGATGGTAGCTCATATTCACGGCCCCAGATGCAGTGAAGATGCTGCTCATATTCACTGCCTCAGATGACAGTGAAGATGGTAGCTCATATTCACTGCCTCAGATGACAGTGAAGATGGTAGCTCATATTCACTGCCTCAGATGCAGTGAAGATGCTGCTCATATTCACTGCCTCAGATGACAGTGAAGATGGTAGCTCATATTCACTGTCTCAGATGACAGTGAAGATACTCCACACATTCACTGCCACAGATGACAGTGAAGATACTGCTCACATTCACTGCCACAGAGAACAAACAATCATACACAAGATAATAGCTCTAAATTACAGACCCCCAACAATCATTTCTCTTTCATGAGACCACAATCGGCTGCATCAGACCACAATCGGCTGCATCAGACCACAATCGGCTGCATCAGACAATACATATTGTTGAACAGAAACTACAAACGCTTATAACGAGCAGTAGGAATTTCATTTGTAGAACTGGTCATTTAAGAGGCATTAACAAATTGAAAAAAAAATAAATAAACAATTATAGCTGAATCCAAAGAAATTTGTAGATCAAACTGAAAGAAATTGTAACAGGGTTATGAAGTTGTAAAGTGAATGAATTAGGTCCTAGTTATAGTCCTTTAACTGGGTGCTAGTTATATAAATGGTTATAACTACCATGTTGTGGATACTAACATTTCCTTCACTCCGGTCTATTGGCGTCTCGGAAAAGTTTCAGTTGGACTGCACATAGATGTCTTTGTCATATGCTTCCATATTATTGGGTGCTGGTGGTTCAGTAGACAGAGCTGCGGCCTATGGTAAGAGGGTGTATATATATATATATAATATATATATATATATAAACACAGCTATGAGCAAGACCAACTGCGGAGTCCCGCAGCCATAGACAAATGATACAAATTTGCGACGGAAAAGGTGGCATTCGTAAGCATAAATAACAACAATTTTTGCTGCACAAGTTGTGGCAATTTGGAAGAAAAGACGCAGTTGACGGGAGTGAGTTGGCGTAAGGCATCTCCCGGTGGGTAATCTGAGCCGCTTCTAATGAAATGGTCCCCGCGTTTTCCTCCTGGGGCGGTGACACTTGGCGTTAATACCGCCACCATCGGCCCTGCCCCCTCGACGCCTGGGCGAGGTTTATTGCGTAGTAATGCGGAAAATACATATATTCCTGCCGAGATAATTCGTTTCAGACCAGGACGTCTGAAAGCAAAGTGAGCAGGCGTGGTCCGCGGAGCGTAATGACTGGCTCCGGAGGTGATGGGCCACGCTACACTCCTATATTTACAGATCTCCAAAAGCGAATAATTATGGGAAATAGGCAGCTTAGGGAGCCAGGGTTAAGTGAATGCTGTAACACTGCGCTCTCCACGCACGAATTTGCCAACGTAAAAATTAATATAGCACCGGAAATCCTAATAGATGCGATGTCCAGCAGGAAATTCCCTGAAACAAATTAACGAAGGCTCAAGTCGGTAATAGAGAGTTGAAACGCGTGGGAGCGGATTGAAACGCATGCAAGAGAAATGAAAGAGTTTTGAAACTTTAAAAAAATGCTAAAATATGAAAGAAAGTTTGACTGAAAGAAATGAAAAAGTTTTGAAACTTGATAAAAGGTTTAAAAATCATATGATAGTGGGTTAAAAAATATGAAAAAAAATTAATCATATGAAAAAGGACTTAGACATATGATAGAGGATTTAAACAAACATATGATAGAGGATTTAAACAAACATATGATAGAGGATTTAAACAAACATATGATAGAGGATTTAAACAAACATATGATAGAGGATTTAAACAAACATATAAACGAGGAATAAAACAAATGGAAGATTGAAAGACAAAAATGTCGATTGGCCAAGAAAATTAAAGAGAACTGAAACAAATATGTGTGGAATACAACCAATTAAAGAAGGTTTGAAACCCCCCTCCCCCCCCAAAAAAAAAAAAACGATTTAAAGAAATTAAAAAGAGATTAAAACACTTTTTTATACCACTAGTAATTTAATAAATGTAAGATAGTTAACGCAGATTAAGAAGATTTAAACAACAATAAAATAAAATGAATTAAAAAATGTTGAACCGCCCTCAAAAAAAAAGGAATTAAATAAAATATAATTTGGAATTCAAAGGAATTAACTTAAATTTTCATTTATTAATATAAATGAATTTAATTTGGAAGAACTTTTGCCCGAATATTTTCTCTAATGTTATCTTCCCAAGTGAACCTTTTATTAAGTAGAAGAGAGAGCCTTTTGTTACTCTAATGCCTCAGGCTTGCCAATCATACTCTAATGCCCCAAGCTTGCCAATCAGAGGCAATGGTTGGTGTGCCGCAGTTGCCACTCAGAAGCAATGTCTAGGACAGATTTTCCATAGACATGACACAGGAAGGTTTCCTTAATCTAGATGTTAATCAGACGACATGTTAATCAGGTGTTAATTAGATGTTAATCAGGTGTTAATCAGGTGTTAATCAGATGTTAATCAGATGTAAATTTAGTGGCATTAGTGATACATATACTGCTAGAAGGAACAAGAGTCAAGAAAAGAGAGAGTGAGTAGTCACCAAGAGACAAGAGTTATGATCGGATGACTCGGTTAAGCCTTAGCCTTAGAGCCTAAGGCTCAAAGCCTCTTAGAGCTTAGAGCCTTAACCTCAGAGCCTTAGGATCCTGAAGCCCTCCAGTCAACACTTCACCACTAACCTGCTTTCTTAAGTACGCATGGTTGCCACACTTAGAATCATACACTACACTTGCCAGACTATTCTCGTACAAGACGTTCACACACACTTGCTTTGAATCAAGAAGGATTTTCTTAGTGATTCTTAGTCATCTTCTTAGTGATTCTTGCTCTCTAGGCGACTCACCCCCATGTTGCGTTGGTACAAGGAGCAGCAAGACGGATTCGTTGTTATTAACGGATTGCATAACTAGAAATCAGATTTTCTCGAGCGTAAATGAACAATACACAAAATTGATTCGAGCATTGATTCGAAAATTGATTCGAACATTACACAAAAGGTGTGATTTCGAGCACAGGAAGAGAGTCAAGCCCTGTTTAATAAAATGTTTTACGTATTCATTACAGAGTCATGTGTAAAGTGTTTTTTTTTTCGTTCCTATACAGAGAATTCATGAGGGCAGGCCGCTTAGAGAACAGATTCACCACGGTGCTTAATTCAGTCTTGAGTTTACGAACTGAGTTCAGTCTCAGAAGCTTACGAACCAACTGTTTGAACGACATCTCTAAAAACCCGTCCGCAGACTATGCCCGTCTAAGGTGCGCCTGTTAACAAAGGTATATTCGTCAGTCGAGTCAATATCCCTCCTAGTGGTATGAACGGGCCTGGTGGTTCTTTGACAGTTTGACAGGTGTGTGTGTGTCTTTACACATTTCAATATTTTCATAACAAGTTGCAGAAGCTGATGCAACTCGCCATCATTGTGATTGAAATGCCTCGCGGTGGAGCATACAGCGTTTCTTGACCGTAGGAGACGTCAGCTTTCATGACGATCGTGTGATGTTGAAAGAAGCAACTGTCTGCAACACCTGTGCTCCCAGTTGCATTGCAAAGTGACACTGGTTCTCACCTGCTCAAGATAACCTCAAGATAACCTGCTCGCAAAGTTCTATAGTGACGTCCTCAACTATCTCATCTATCCTCCTACTCGCAGTATAGCCTGCCTGGTGGCCTAGCTTGAGGTTATCTTGAGATGATTTCGGGGCTTTAGTGTCCCCGCGGCCCGGTCCTCGACCAGGCTTCCACCCCCAGGAAGCAGCCCGTGACAACTGACTAACACCCAGGTACCTATTTTACTGCTAGGTAACAGGGGCATAGGGTGAAAGAAAATCTGCCCATTGTTTCTCGCCGGCGCCCGGAATCGACCCCGGGACCACAGGATCACAAGTCCAGCGTGCTGTCCGCTCGGCCGACCGGCTCCCCTATA